CGTTAGGAAAATGCTGGAATGGACCTGGTCCTTTATGAGCACATCCTCACGCCAAGTACTATCAACTTCTCTGCCATGAAGCAAACCACCAAAACGTGGGACCAGCTGCAGCTCACACGACAGCCAAGCCAGAGACACAACCTCTGGGAGACCATCAGCACCACAGACAATGGAATATGCACCATCAGCAACCAGTCATCACCTAAACAGCTACAGAACTATTCAAGACATGATGGAGGGTTTGGGGTGATACTCAGAAACCTACTCCAGATGCAAATGGAGAAACTTTGAAGACAATGATGTTTGAATTGCATTAACCCCTCCTTGGGACACAGGATCTGTCCACACTGGAATGGGGACAGTGACTGGAGCCTGCAAAGACAGAGCTGTTTCACTCTACCCAGCTCATGTTCCCAAGGCAGGATACACAGTACAGATTTTGGCACAGGCTCACAGCACAGTGCTCCAGGGGGTTTGTTGCCCAAACCAACAACTGAGGAACAGCCAGTTTGTGACTCTTTAGACAAACCACATGCAGTCCACAAACACTTCTAGTGGGATATCCTTGCTGGCCCAAGGACTCATGGTCTCCTAAGGCTGTGGTAGCGCACAGGGTGTCTCTTTCACATGGAAAAGGGAAGGAAGCAAGATAACACGGCTTGCTGACACACCATCTGCAGGATACCGAGCTCCATACCTGTAGAGGAGTCCTGATCACATGAACATGAGAGGATCACAGCAGAGAGTCATGTGTTCAGATACACTGACAGCACTACCATCAGCTAAAGAAAAGCAAGAAACCTTGCATGGGGAAGTTAAAGAGGCCCATTATTCAGGGATGTATTTATGGCTCATGTTTCACTTTTATCACCCCCAGAGCATTTAAGGCCAGTTTCGGTGTTTTTTGGGTGTCTTACTTAGCTCCAAGCCTTGAAAGCTTCAGCCCAAGCATGGTCTGGGGGAACAGTGACTGTTCCTTCATTCTGCCATCTTGCCACATCCTCCCCCATTCTAAAACATGCAACAGTGAAGGGATGTCCCTAACACTGCAGCTTTCCCCTTGGATGATTTATATGCACTTCAATGGCATCACAAGGCATAAAATGAGTTCTTCCATTTCTCAGGGTTTCATTCTTTGCTGTGAGGAACCTCCAAGCTTTTTTCTTGCTGTCTGCTGAAATGGATCCCAGTGCTCCACTAGAGCTCTGGGCTGACCTGGGTACAGGGCAAGCTATCCCATACTCATTATCCAGCAGTCTCCAAAAAACAGCACAGCCCTTACACGGTGGAGCCCTGGAAAAGGGAGTCACATGTTCACTACCCAGCTCTAGAGGACAAACGCAGTGCCTGGCCCCCACACGTGCTTTCCACTCCCAGATATCACATCCAACAGCATCCCTGCTGCTGCTGGACTTTCCACACTCATGCCACCACCCAACCCTGCCTGTTCAAGAGGACACTGTCCCCATCCCCTGGAGGTGTGCCACGGAGTGCTGAGGCTGTTCAACCTCTGCCACACATGAGGGCTGCTTTGCTTACTGCCTAAGAGCAATTCCTCCCAGTTCTCCCCTCTCGTACACATGTGCCAGGTGTGAAAACCAGTTCAGACATTAAAACCCACTGCTCAGCTCTAGCAGCACGGAAAAATAAAATCACTGGCTGATCAGCCAAACAAGCAGGTGGGAGTGGTACAGACAGAGGCAGGAGAGACAAGGTACTAAACCTGCCCAGTGCTCCCAAGTGCCTCGTTATACTGATTTATATTTAGCTAATTGAGAAAATGACTCTAACTACACAATCCAGGCCCTAATTCAGAAAGGCCAAAGCTTTTTAGTGTCTCTACCTGCATCTTAAAAGGCATGATTTAAACCCTGTAACTAACAGGCTGCCAAAGGCAAGGATTTGAAGGATCTGATGTCCTATCATGCCGAGGGGGTGAGGTTTAGCTAACTTCTCTCGTTACTTGGTCTTTCCCCACTGCTGTACCAAGTTTGCTGCTGGGACATAAATCAGGGGAAATGATGAAGGAAACCAGTCTCGTGCCCCATCAAAGGAGCCAACACTCCCTTTAATGGGACCATGCAGGCAAGCCTAAATAGGGCACTTAACAAGCATGTGGTTTCTGTAATACCAGCCCACATCTACACACTGTTTGCACTGCCACTGGCAAAACCCTTTGCCCCTTTATGCACCACACCTGCTTGTATCCATGGAATTAGAAAAGGGATCATGATATAATGCCAAAGTGTTGAGCATAGATTTCTGGGTTGGATCAGGCCTGCAGAAAAATTTTAGCTATCTCTCAGTAACTGCATGAACCCTTGTACACAGTTATGGCATGTACAAGAGCAGAGCACAGAGACCCAAGACACTGTGTCTACAAAGAGTCACACAAAAGTACCAAGCTTGGCCCAGGACCCACAGATGCTCAAAGATCCCACATAAGGTGGGGTAAAGCTCCAGTCCTCAGGCTGGGACAAGCCATATCCCAAGGGCCTAATCCAAACTTGAACCCTTACAAAAGGGTGTTAGGAACAGAAAGCCTATGGATCCTACTGTCCTAAGCAGAAAATACAGAACAGAGGGAATCCCAGCAAGGGAGGGAATTCTATGGAGCTCTGCCCCTTTCTTTGGCTCCTGAACTTTGCCCAAGGTTAACTGTTCCATGAGCAATCCTCTCTAGCGTGTTCTTAATGCAGCTGGTCAGGAAACACAGTACCCCCAACCACTAGACCAGTCACTACATTTCCTTCTTATTGGTTTTTCCTCATTCAGTTCAGGTGGGATCCAGGCTCAAAGGAAAGACTCCACGCTTCACAAAAGGTATTAGGAAGACAAATGGCTGATGGAGAACTTGAGTCCCTCCCCACAAAGCTACCCCAAGCTCAAACCTCTTGAGAGCCCAGCTTCATCTGGCTGGATATACAATCAGATTGGGGGTTGTCCAAGTGTTTTACACCATGCAGTAGACATCCATGGGAACCCCAGGCTGAGTCATGACCATCTGTGCTCATTTAAACATTCCTTGACAGAGGAGGGAGTGCTAATCCTGACATCCTGGCCAAAATGCAACACGGACAATTATACTGTGCTTCATAACATGTCACAGGGGTGCACGTTGGTGTTTTCCAGTTCATCCCATAATGCTCATGTGTTGGTCCAACACAGAAATGGCCACGGTGCCACAGCAGAATGCAAGTCCCCTGTGACAAGCCCTGCAGTTACTGTCAGACATCACATGCTGCTCTATTTTCCCTGCTGGGGGTGCTCAGTCTCAGCGCGCTTCACACTCAGACTTCTCCCCCTACCTGTGCAAGAGGTCCTCACGAAAGATCTGCCCATTCATTCTTGATCTGTGCTGAACTTCTTATTTTTCTATTCTTCTGAAGAGATATAACACACCAGTGGAGTGGAGAGCACACCTGCCTTCAATGCACACCTGCCCTTAGCGCACTCCAGGGACAGCAAATCCAAACACTGTAAGACACAGCAGCCACTACAAAGGGAGAAATGGCTTTTGCTTGGAGAGCCTCAATTCCAACGGTTCTCTTTCCTTCAAGGAAAAACAAGTTAAAAAACCCAACCCTTCTGTTGCACCAAAATCATCTCCTGGCATTTCTGACCAGCACACATGTTGTTACAATTACGACTGGACTCCCTGGCTCCGGCACAGGGGGAATGTTAAACCGGCACACTGGCACCCATCAAAACATTTGAGAACTTCCAAAGTGGAACTGACACCACGGTAGTGGTTTGTATCACACGTCACAGAAAGGCTTCATAACTTAGATCAAACAATTTAACTCCTGAGCTCCCTGTCCAGCAAGAGCAACCAAATGCTAGGCTGCTATTGTTATCCCACGTGGCTGTTTCATGTGGCTCCCAGCCAGTTCACTCCATTTTGCAAGCTCAGAAGTTAAAGGCAGACAGAACTGGCCAGAACTTCAACGAGGGACTCGCCAGAGAACAGAACCTGCTGATTCTAACATCTTCCCTTCACGTTCTAGCATCTTCCCTCTCAGGCAGAAAAAGCACCAGCACTATCAGGATGGTACACAAGAATTTTTCAGCTTTTAAGCAATTTTGTTGGATATAAACTTACTCCATTCTAGGAATATTCATATTCTTAAGCAGTCGTCAAAAAGATCTTTGGACTTGTAATTTTTTGCCATTTTTGGAGTTCAAACAATAACCTTACCTGTGACAACGAGGTGCAACGAGTAGGACTAATTTAACCACATTTTAGCCTAGGAGAGAACCACAAATTATATGCAAAATAGAGTGCGTGTGATTCCAGTAAGTACCATTGCAACTCAACTCTTCTGTCAGAAGCTCTGCTGTGTGTCCCCTACGAGCTTAACACAACTGTAATGAGGAACAGGATTCTGAATCTCTTGAGGAACAACTGGGGACACACCTGCAGAGGATGGAAACGAGAATGGTACAATTAAATTATTACTGCACTTACTGGTATCCAGTTCTGAAAACCACCATCAGGTTGCTACAAGCTGTCCTGCAACTGCAGACAGAGTAAAGGAAGTCACTCACAATTTTCTCATAATAAAATCAAATCCTCTGCTTCAGGTCTTCCAGCAAAATAACAGTGAATGCAGTATACCAGCAACCACAGAGCAATGCTTCATACGTATTTCAAATGTTACTTTGGAGTTTTCTAACTTTAATCAACCCTAATTATGAGCGGCTTCTCTAGAAAACATATTTATTCCACTTTCTCCTGTGTATGGGAGGCACCAGGAGAGATTTTCCACTGCTGCCCTGGGCTAGTTAGCTGAAGAGACTCCTGCCAAGCCGTATCCTGCCATGTCTTTGCTTCATACATTTCCATGCTTCGGAACAGCCTTTTTTGAGGCTTTACTTTCACACAGCAGAGAGTTGCCAAAGGACGTATCTGATTCTGCCATTTATCACCTCCTGTGGAAAAAGAGTCTTGGATACACGTATTAGTCTCAGATATCACAACCGACAGTAAACACACCGCGTACAAGATGCACTGATTTATTAATAGAATAAAAATGAAATGTAGTGACATGTTTTTCCACTGTTAAAGCCATAGAGACAATCAGTGTCCCATTTATATACTCGGTGGCGTCATTCAGCAACTCATTCATAAACTCTGACCGACACGTTCAGGTCAGGTATTCCAGGAACCATTCCCACACTTCCATGTTACAAAGCGGATAACTGTGAGCTCAACTCCCCACGGTTTGCAGCTGCAATCAGTCTATGGGAGATTTTCCTACGTCCTCTTCTAATTCCTGAGACTTTCTCCACCTGGAATAGCTCTTTAAAGCCTTTCAACAGCAACAGAGTGAACCAGCTGAACTTCTTGTGGGGTACAGACCTGCTTTTCAGGCAAGAAAATGCATTGAATGTCATACAAAAATAGGCTCATTTCCAATATACAGTGGAGATTATTTACTATAAGATCCCTGGCTAATTATTGGCACTTCGAGGCAACTACAACAGAGAAAATGTTTGCAGTGGAAGCTTTAAATGTAACACACTCTCTTTTGTGTGTTTCTACTTCTACATTCTGTAGGGTCTTAAGCTGTACCCATCATTTTTGTTAAAGCATAGCTGATGTGATTTCATAGATAACAGATCTATCCATGTACAGCTTGGTAATGATTCAACATTATCTGAAAGAATAGGCAAAGTGATAAATATGAGGTATTACAACTGACTTTGCAATTTGCCTCAGTATGCAAATTTCCTTTCCATGAGGAAAGAGTATCATCTACAAAGGCAATTAAAGTAAGCACTTGGGTTTCACAGCATTAGAAACCGTTGAAAACTAATCCCTTATGGATACAAAGGAAGAAAAACATCCTATTGCAGATGTTAGGGGACAGAATGCATTCTGAAGCATATCAAGGGGTGTTTTCTTCTGTAGATATCTATCTCTTGCACCCTGCTCAGAACAGGTATCTGTGACACCAACAGGCTGAAAATCTTTGGAAAAACCCTACTGTTCACACATGCAAATGTCCTGTTTCAGGAAGGTATAAAAGCCCGTGAAGAGCTGGGCATTAGAACATGAACACAAACCAGGAAAGATGATGACAGACGGTGAACCCCAAATGAGAGTCTTGTGAAAAAAAAAGCACCTTTGAAATTTGAAAACAATATTAAAGGAAAAGGGAAATGAAGTGCATGTGACTGGTACTGCCAAAGCCCAGATATAACCTACAAGCCTGCAGAGAGTACATCATCCATAACCACTGGCTCATCTCCATCCAGCAGTCATGTAGCAGAACAAGCTGGGGAGCTTTCCGAAGTCACATCTACTGCTTGAGTTTGTCTGTCCATACTGGGGAGGGATTTGGTCCCGGAGTTTTGAGACTGTTCAGAAACAGCAGGAGAAGCAGCAGCATGGTTGGCACGCTCGCCCTCCCGCCCTGTACCACTGGGAGTGGGGTTCTCCTTGGCTGTCGCAGCGTGACTGTGTGACTGGCTGCCTTGTCTCCCTGCTTCTGCCTCCTGCTGCTGCAGCATCCGCTCCACCTCGATCTCGAGTTCCAGATTTTCCTCATCTGCCTCCACATCCAGCTGCTGCATTAACTCCTCCAGCTTCCTGGCCTTGCGGAGCTCGTTCTGCTGGATGATGGTGCACAGGTGCTCCGTGAGGTGCTCCTTAAGCTCCGTCTTGTGCTGGAGGTCCAGCTTGGCTGCCACGTACTCCGACTCCGCCTTTTCGTACCGCTTCCTGCAAAATCATCACCATTTCTAGTGGGTTAATTCTCAAAGCACTCCACAGCCTGACACACAGACAGACACTTCAAACATCCCTGAAATGCAACGTGTGTTATGCCAGCTGTTCACGACGTGCTGCTACGTTAGCAAAGGGGAAGAAAAGAAGTGTGAATTGATCAAAACTTCTCTGGACGCTCCAGGCTCTGCTGCTGTGTAATCCAAGAGTTAACTTGCTCATCTGAAATCTATAGACTGAATCACAAACACACATTTTCGCTGCCTGTTTGAAGGGATGCATCACTAGCAGCAGAAAGAAACCATCAGAAATTGCAGTTTTCACACTTGTAATGAACACCCACCCAGTGAACCGAAACACTGCACACAGCAGTTTGGGGTTCTTCTAACCCAACCACGCCCCGACAGACACAGATGCTCAAAGGAGCACAGCATGGATACATATGGACATTTGGATAGTGTACTCTTCGGGCCACCCATAGACATGTTCAGAAAATCAGGAGCAGCACAGACTGACACAGCACGTGACATCAAAAGTGATCACAATTTCTGCGTGGCGACAGATGTAGAATTTTATTGCAAGCATCCCCCTGACACTCACCTCCTGCCAATTTGCACTTCCTGTCACGACAAATATAGCAAAAAGGAAATATTCTAAATATTTATCGAGGTTAACACACAGAGAGTATCCAGCACTTTAATGGCTGGTGTCTGCATTAGTGATGCTTCTTCCACTGCATCAGTAAATCTGTGTATTCATTCTAATTAACAGACAGATAGGTGCAATCTTGCTCATCAGGAAAAGGTTTTTGCAGCACGGCTACATGAAGCACCTTACAGAGCACTTACAAAACTAATGTAAGTAAGGTGGTTGAATAAAGCATCCAGCTGTTTTATAAAGCAACAGAAAGACAGGATCCTTTGCTTAGTGAAACAGAAGGAAACAAGACATAGAAAAGCATTCCCAAATATGTTCTTTTATATAAGCATCACAAAACTTTGACTCAGATGTAAAGGCTGTGTCTGCAGTGGGCAGAAGATGCCCATTTACATTTGCCTCTCAGGAAAGTCAAGATGTCTTTAGGTCAGGCACCTAAAATGAAAAAACTAATAATACTATGCTGGAAACATCTGCGCAGTTAAACCTTTGGGCTGAATTCACACGTATTATTCACATCATATTTATGAAAATTCAATTCCACAGCAATTGGCCAATGTCCCTAACTATGTATGTGCTCAGGACTATTTAAAATTGCACTTTTTGACCCACTGAAGCGATTTTTGTTTTAGCCCTAAAACACAAGGCAAGAACTAAAAATTTGCTTTAAAAGACACCATTTAGAAGTAAATCAGCTTTGGCTTATAATACATGAAAACTACAGCACTGGAAGTATCTAACTTGCATTTCCAAGTCCCTCCCTCACAAAAAGACTACGGTCATGAAAGTCATTAAGAATTTGATAAATTTTATCCACTTGTCCTACCAGCATCTCCTTTTGTTCTTGTCATCAAAAACTGCTTTCCAAACGTCAGAGCCCTTCGTGTTCTGTGCTCTTTTGCCAGTAAGCATTTCAAATAGACACATTATTACAAAAATGGGGTATGAGATTTGCAGGAGCATGTAATGGTTTTAGAAACACTGAAATGTTTTTCCACTTCAGGATATTAAATTCTGTATTCATATGCAATCAGCCACTCTGACTACAGTTAATCTTAGATATTTTAACTTATAATTACGCTAAAGAAATCTTCATTTTTTTTTTAGCTACCACTGCTATTTTTTAAAGACTAATTATCATGTTTATTGGCCTGTGGTCAATGTATAGCAAAAGTCAAAAGGAGAAATGCACATTTAACACATTGAATTGTGAACTCGAAACCGCAACCAAACATTTCTGTTTTATGAAACGGCTGCACAAACATCCCGATGTTTATCTACTGATGTTGTGGCTTACCCACAACTAATGGGGTGTTCCAATTAATTTCTTGCATTTAAGGAACTCATCAGAACCAGAGTGATTAAAGGCACATTGTGAAGGGTGAAAGCTTGCTTTTTCCTTCAGTTTTTGGTCCTAGTTCCAAAAGCACTTCAGCAGTATTATATGTTTTAAGCTTAATTGGTCCCATTGATTCCAAAAGGAGCAGAGCAAGTTTGCCTGAAAAGGACTTTCATTTTAGGACTTTTCAAGAAAAAACCTCTTTCCCCCTGAGAAGAAATAAACAACCTTGAAACAATAAAGCAGGGCTTATGGACAACTGCACAGTTAAGGCACTACTTATGTCTCGTGACAGCACACTCTGCAGTCAGAAAACTGCTTCGGTTTCCAGACTCCAAGGGAAAAATTAGGAAATAAAAAGCAAGTTTTTACCTCAAGATTTGAAAGCCCCCCAGACTGTGACTGCTCTAACTACACGTTATTACAATGACATAACTTCATTACTGCTTTGGTGACAGGAAACAGCATTTTCTCCCTGCTCTCAGACAGAGCTATTCCCTGTTCCCTGTTCCCTGTTCCCTCCTCCCTGTCTGTCACTTACCGGGCATAGGAGTATTCCAGGCTGGCCTGATCAATGCGGTTCCTCAGGATGCCAATGTCAGCAGACACCATGTCATCCAGAGCTTGCAGCTCCTTCTGAATCCTTTTTAGTTTCACTGCTTCAGCTTGAGTTCTTTTGGATCTGCAAAAGGAAGATGTGCTTTTTTCCTCCCTCTTTTCAAGACTCTCTTCTTGACACACCAGGCCCCATTTCATTTGCAGAGCAATCAACTTTAGGATCTATTCAGAAGGTTTCCCCTTTATGGTTTAGGGCTTTTGATCTTTTTCAGTATCCACAGGGATCTAAAATGCCTGCTATTAAAGGACTACAGCAAAATTATGTAATGACTACAATCAAAGTGCCTAAAATGGATTGTGTTTCTTCACTGTGGAAACACACAAGAAGCTGCTGTATCTAAGTAGTTCCCAGTGTAAGGAAACAGGAAATGGCTTGGGGGGGAAGTGAGAGGGGGAAGGGCATTTAGCCCTGCAAATATCCCCTTTCAAAGAAGCCCAGTTAGTAGGGGCCAAAAAGTCACCTAACCTAAGCTTGATTTCCATTTTGCAAAATTATTCCCAAAAGGCCCAGCCAAATCCCAATGAAGTGAATGGAAAGTTTTACATCAAACACAAAGGGTTTCAATCAAGCCTTATGTAACCTTTTTCAACTCAGCCTATTCATTCCCTCATCCTGAAATCTAAACGTTGCTAAGGGCAGTAAACTTTGATGGATTTCACTCCCAAGCAAGCTGAGTGACTCTCATCATCACCAGCAAATTCACACTTCCCAGCCACTGCTTTACACCCAAAGTAGGTATCTGAAACCAAGACTAGTTGTGCAGGCAGTGACAGCATCTCTCATTAGACCAGCTGATGCACATGGAGGGGAAAGACACCTGTGGTATTGCTGAAAGCCCGAGGGAGGACTTTGAATGTCAGATGTAACTCCCTAGGTATCACTTTCCATGTCCTCTTCTCTCTCCTCAGGCTTTGTTTCCAGGAGGAAGAACCCAGCCTGATGGTCACACCCATGTCTGCTGTCCTACAGTGACTCAGAACAAATGCACTCGTGTTTTCTCTCTGCCTGGCAAAGGAAAACACCATTTTCAGAACTTTAAAGAGAATCTTCTACACAGTATGGGCTGTGTTCACTTGTGCTACCCAAGGGCTCTGATGGGCAGAACACAACATGTCTGGGAGAGCACTGCAAGCCTGAAAGCTTCACATCACCTTCCCTGATCCAGTGCTATGAGCTGTTCCAACATCCTTCCCTACAAACCTTGCCTTCTGTGTAGTCTTAAACTATATCACTATACAATGCCTTAAAGTCTGGTCCCCTGAAGAGCAAGAGCCAACAAATGAGACCATGTGCTGTAATTTCTAATCAGCCAGGGGTACAATGGTATTTTCTTCAAATTAAAGTTGATAATCTTCTCTTTTCAATACTCTTCACATACTCATAAGAGTCAAAAGCTCAAACAGTTTCTCATCATAATTTAGGAATCAAATGAACTTTCCTTAAATCCAGCAAAACCAATTCAGGAACAGAACAGGGATACACATCTGAGCATCCCAACTTCCAAACATGATCTCACTAACAAATTCAAGGACTTCAGCTAATTCTCGAGTTGTGTAATAACTTTTCCATCTGCACACAGAGCTGCAGCTTTGGAAGTGTGAAAAGCTTAGTCACAACTTCTTAGCCAGCACTTGTCATCCAAGGGAGATGTCGCTCACAGCTGCTCACTTCTGGAGCAGCACACACTGAGCACAGAGAGGAGGGAAAACTGACATTTGAACCAAGATCTGCAGATGAAAAGTAACCCCTTGCCCGTGCTCAGCCCATGCAGCACAGCCTGTTACCTCTCAGCAATAGCTCTGGCCAGCAGAGCCTTCTTGCGCTTATTCTTCTCCTCTATCAGCCGCTGCTCTTGCTGGAGGATTTCCCATCGGGATTTCTCCTGCCTGCTCATGGAAAAGAAGATCAAAATTAACAGAAAGTTCATTTCTCTTCCTGTTCTCCAAATAACACAAATATTCATCATCGTATTTCCTGGAGTAAACTCTAAAAACGTCAAAGGAACAATAAACAGGCTTCGGTTCTAAGGAAAGAAGTATCACCTGCAAGAAGTCATTCAGAGCAATAAAAATATTTTCAGATGAAATCTGCTGATCATAACAAAAATCTGCACAACCAGATAAGCTGCTGGTTAATTCAGCTTTGCTGGAAGAAAGAGCATGGAGTACTTTTTCAGAAATGGATGGAATTTTTCATTTAAAGGATGTGCTTCCCTGCTAGGTAGAAGCAGTTTCAAGTTTCTTACTGGCTGCTACAAGTTGCCATCTGTTCAGTCTGCCAACACAGCCTCTTTTTTGGAAATGTTTTTTTGCATAAAACAGATTCTTTCACAGGCCTGCTTTACAATACAGCCCCCAAATAATTAAACTGATAAAAATGAAAGGCCGATAAAAGTCATAATGAAAATCAGCAACAAGGAAGAACAAGAATTCACTTTTAACACCAGGAAAAGAATATTGATTCCCTTTCCTAGCTACGTCTACTAAGAGATACAAGCAGCCCCAGAGGATGGGATCAGGTGAGGGGGGACAACACAGCTGGGCAGGATTCAGGAGAAACAAAAAACTGCTTTGCTGCTTTCCCATTCCATTGTGTTCTTCGTGCCCTCTCGGAAGAACCCTCAGCTTAAAAACACTCAAGTAACTCAGCTACTAACAATCACTTCTGCACAAGAACATCTCTTCAGATTTCTCATCACCCTATCCCTAAAAACTCATGTAGAGAAATATTTGCAGTAAGATGTAGATTCAAGTGCCCAGGCTGAGATGAATCCAGCAGATCCAGGAGGCGGCTGTTGCAGCAAAATGTCATTTGCTCCCACAGCGTGAAAAACGTCTCTGCAAAGCTCCAGGTGTTTTCCCCACCAAAAAGAAGCTGAACAGTGTCTGGCTCACCACACCCAGAAAGCTGCTGATCCCTGCTTGGGGAATACAAATGATGCATGGAAGTTTGGAGGCCAGCCTTCATAAACCATTAAGACATCTCAGGCACTTTATGATGAGCAGTGCCGCTGCCACAAGAAATTATCTGAAAACAGCACAGTGCATCTCTGCAGAGTACACTGCAGAATTTGGTCCTCAATCAGGTTTAACTCAACTAGAGATTAAAACCAAAGGTCCAATGCAGAGCAATCTAATATGGTCATAGAATCACAGAATGGTTTGGGTTGGAAGGGACCTTAAAGATCATCACATTCCACCCCCTGCCACAAGCAGGGACACCTTCCACTAGATCAGGTTACTCCAAGCCCTGACCAACCTGGCCTTGAACACTTCCAGGTATGGGGCATCCACAGCTTCTCTGGTAACCTGTGCCAGTGCTTCACTGTCCTCATAGGGAAGATTTTTTTCCTAATATCTAATCTACCCCAACTCTCTGCCAATGAGACGCCCTTCCCCCTTGTCCTATCACTACATGCTCTTGTAAATAGTGTCTCCATCTTTCTTGTGGGCTCCCTTCAGGTCACAGTCAGGTCACCCCAAAGCCTTCTCTCTTCCAGGCTGAACAATCCCAATTCTCTCAGTCCTTCCTCACAGGAGAGGGAATGATTTGATCTCTCAAACCTTCCAATTAGACACAGAAAAGTTCACTTTACTTCAGAATGAAAGAATGAATCAACTCAGAGCAACAGTCCCCACCCCCAGATTTTACTGACTTACTAACAATTCCACTTTCTTCCTCTCCACTTGGGTGCTGGGCTGTGCAGGGTGGGGCTGGGCACTGTCCCTGCCATTGCAAGGTGTCACCTCCTCCTGCTGATCCTGGCTGTCACTTTGCCTTTGATCTCCAGCAGGAGGAGGACGAGGTGTTGGCACGGGCTGCTGAGGGTGAAAGGGTTTGTGCTTTGGTGCAGAGAGCAACTGCTCCGGAGTGACAGGGGCTGCCCCACCCTGCAGTCCCAGCCTCTGGCATTGCTGCTGGAGGGCTTTTTCCCGCTGCAACTGCTTCCGAGGCTTGCTCCCGGTGTGGGGGCGAGGCTGCTGCTGCTGCTGTTGCTCCGAGGACTTGAACAGCTCTATCAGAGAAGAGGGAGAAACGGGATTAAAAACAAATCTCATTGTCAGAGAATCTGTGAATGAGTTTTTCTGGAAAAGCAACTGCTGCACAACCAACATAAGGATGAGATGACTAGAGTGCCATGGAAAGCCAATGTGGGGGAAAACCCAGCAAGCTGGAAATGTTTTGCTAGCGTAAGGATCTGTAGTTTTAAAGGATATGAGCATTCCTAAATGAGGAGAGGGAGGAATAAGGGGCCTGGACTGCAGGACTAAAGGAGGAACGATAGGAGAGAGGCAACTCTTGGGATAATCATGGAGAGGCAGATCTGGGGCTGAGGAAGGGTCCATGCAGCCTGGTGGGCAAATCGAGGACATAAACCGGAGAACGGGGAAGAACAAGGTGACACGAAGTCAAAGAGGAGGCTGGGAACACGAATGGGGCAGTGGGCTGGGATGTGGAAGCAGGGCAAGAGCCTGGAGAGTCTGGAAACGCGACCGAAGGGTTGTGGGGGTACAGAGAGATGGGGCTGGACGGGAGGGGCCGGGGGGCTGAGCAGGCGTTTGATGGGGGGATAGACCAGCTGAACTGAGGGGTCGGAAGGAGGTGTAGATGCAGGGGCTGAGGGGACGAATAAGGTGCGGATGGAGGGGCTGAGGGCACGGGGCGCTGAGGGAGGGGAGGAGGTAACAGTGACGGGTGCGAGGGCCGGGGGGCTCCCCCCGCCGCGCCCCGGTGCCCGGTTGCCGTTACCTGGGCGCTGCCCCCGCAGCCGCCGCAGACTCTCCTGCGGAAGATAAAGCGGCCCATGGCCTCGGCCATGGCGCATCCCTCTTCCACCCGCGCAGAGGCCTCGGTCTGCCCCAGCTGCCGCCGCGGCGAACGCCGCGGACAGCCCGGCCGGGGGCCTCGCGCGGGGCGGGCGGCAAGATGGCGGCGTGAAGCGGGGAGGAAGAGAAGGGTAGGGGCGCGGGGGGAATTGCGGATCGTCCGTGCTTCCGGGAAGCTGCTCAGGGCGCAGCCCCGGGGCTCCTGAGAACACAGTGCCGGTAAAGAAGCACGGAATCAACTAGGTTGGAGAAGACCTCTGAGATGATCGAATCCGACCTGTGACCGAACAAGGTTAATGAGGTTTATGGAGAGGGGAAGCCGCACCCGAATAAAGCAAACTTCAGGGAGCATTACAGTCTTCAGACACACCGCCCCGGTCATTTATAATCTGTAATTAATGTAAATAAGAGCAAGAGAGATCCTGCTCCGGGGAGCGTAGTTAAAGTTCCAGTGACACCACTGTGAGGCAATCATGGATCCCAGAGTGCTTTGGGGGCTGGAAGGGAAATTAAAGCTCATCTCATTCCACCCCCTGCCATGGGCTGGGACACCTTCCACTAGCCCAGGTTGTTCCAAGCCCTGTCCAACCTGGCCTTGAACACTTCCAGGGATGGGGCAGCCACAGCTTTTCTGGGCAACCTGTGCCAGGGCCTCACCAACCTCACAGGGAAAAATTTTTTCCTAATATCTAATCTAAATCTCTTTTCATTTAAAACCATTCCCCCTTGCCCCGTCACAGTCTGCCCATGTAAAAAGTCGCTCTCTCTTTTCTTATAAGCTGCCTTTAAGTACTGGAAGGCCAGCAGGGAAAAGTATTATTTTGCCCACGCTGATGTTTCTGAAAGTCTGCTCTGACCATTATGCACAAGGTTGCACACACACGCTCCCATCCTTAGGTAGAAACTGAAAAGATCCCACAGTGAACAGCAGCATCCCTCAGTATCCACGAAAAGAAGCCTTTTCCCTTCCATCCCAAACTCCTGTGGCTGCTTTAATCCTGCCAGAGGCCCTGTGGATGAGCTCCCCTCCCACCGTGAGCACAAAGGCACGAGCCCCCAGCTTAGCTGCAGCAGCCCAGGGGCCGGCAGGCTTCAATAATACATCAGCAGCAGTAAAACAGGGACATTTCCAGTGCCTGACCACATCCCTCCCTGACTCCAATCTGTAAGGGATTAGTCAAGCTCTGGAGCTCCCCAAGCAAGCCCATAACTTGATGGCCATGGATGACACTGCAATTTACCGCAGCAGCACTTCCAGCAGCTCCTGCATGACTAACACATCCCATAAATACCAGCCCTGGACGGGGGGGGGGGACAGTGCTGAACTGGCAGGCGTTAAGTGTTTCTGATGGGATTTGGCCCAGTGAGTGCCTTTGGAGAACACAAGTGCCACCTTTGTTCACCTGCAGCTCAGCTAGAGGCCTTGATGCCGAGCAGAAGCGTTGCAGGCATCCAGCAGAGGAGGAGAGCAAGGTTATCTCATCCAGGAAGTCCTTCCTGGATGAGCCTGGGGCAGAGGGATGCTGAGTGGCCCTTCAGACAGGATTATGGTTTCCTCTGGGAAACCTGACTGAGCACAGGAGAGATCTGAATGAGAGCCATGATCCAACTTTGACTCAAACACTCTCAGACTCCAGGGAGTCCAGATGGCAGAACCAGGTGTCAGCTTGAATTTTACAATGGAACAGTGTTGGCCAGCCCAGCAAGGGTTGGCTTACAACAAGGTGTGGGCACCTAATTCCCTTTTAGATGCCCTTATAAGAGTCATGAATCTAAACCTGTTCTGATCTCTAAAACACAGTAAAGGGCTGCACCAAACCCACAGATATCAACTGAATGTGCTTCATGAAGTACAAACACATACTTCTTGAACTTTGACTCTTTCTTCTCTTCCAAGTTTTAGTGCTATGAACAGAAGTGAAGCACCGTGTTCACTTTACTGCCACAGATATTCCAGGCACAGAGCTCCCACGTGTTTTATAGAAAAAGTATAAAGAGTTTAGAGTTGTTAACTGGAATGCCATAGGCAAAGCAGCAATCCATGCTAACAGCTTCCATCAGCCAAAGGTTTAATTGCTGGTCTTTGGGCCAGCTTGCTCCAGGAACAATTACAGCCCAGTGAAGTCATTTCATGGAGCATTTACCGACAGCAGGTTTAGAAAACACAGGCTGACCATGTTCTCTGGCTGTCTAAAGTCCTATGAGCAGAACATGGCACTGAACATTTGCCACCTAGGAATAAAGTGTTTTCCAAGCAAATTTTGCTAAAATGCAGGCTGAAAAGGCAAGAAGAGAAAACAGAAAACTTTCCCATCTCCTGGACCAATATCCCCAGGAACAACACAAACTTTCCTGCTACATCTGGGGCTGGATTTGAGTCCTGTATCTGGATTTGAGTCCTGCTTCAAGAGCTGCTCCCTCCCTAACAGACCTGGAGACCTCCATGACTGCTGCTGTTATCTCATGGTCTAATTGGCCTGGAGTCTGCTGATTCCAGAAGCAGAGAGCACCAACAGATCACAGAAACATCTCTTCTCTTGCAGTTCCCAAATCAGCGTGGAAATGTCATCACAGGCTGGCAAATTGGGCTCCCCAGGTCAGACCTCAGGGTCAGACCTCAGATGACATTTCAACCCGGGACAGATGCAATTTGTACCAGGACATAACTTCAATTTGCATCGGTTTCATACTGAAAATTTTGGAGGGTTTTAAGAGCCAAATAAGCTCTTCCATCAAGGGGCTCCCCGACTTAGATAATATATTTTTAACTTGATTCTTGCACTGCTCTGCACGTCGTCACACTAACACACAAAGCAACATTTTCCCAGGAGAGGATTGAGCCCTAATGTGAGACTTGTATAGGGACGTTTCCTTTCTGCTTGTGTTTCAGACCCTATCATGAGCTTCCAAGGACTCTGACATTTAACTAAAGAGACATGAGGATAAAACATTGTGAAAATAACACAGCCAAAAATTCCTAAATCAATTTAGTCCTCTTTCTAACATGTACTATTAAACTTGTATCCGTTGTATCCATCCACTGTATCTTGTGCCAATATTATCCCATCTGGCTTGGGAAGAACCACCACATCCAGATGAGCCATGGCACTGTGTGAGCACCGTACCAGTGATTCAAACCCCAGACACACTTCAAGAATGTAACCCCAGTGTTATCCTGCAGTTACCGGCCCTACTGCAAGGGGCTGGCTTGAGGAGTTATGCAAAAATGCAGGTACATCTAATGGAAGTAGTGTTTCTGCTGTAAAATGAATTATTCTCATTCTGGAGTAAGGCGAAAAAACTGAATTAAAAAACCCCCAGCACTATTCCTTCTCCTCAGTTTCAGTTCCCTTTCACTGCCTGGTAAGTGGGATTAAGTCAGCACTGTCATTTCTGGGACCAAGGCAGTCTTTTGGTTTGCAAGAATTTCATAGAAGGAAACAAAAATCCACTTACATAAAGAGGTATTGAGTGAAAAAACCTACATCAGAAACCTGCTTTTTAAACCATATAAACCAAAGGTTTTCAACATCTTTTGATTTGTGGCTCTGTACACATTTTCTAGTGAAGAGGCAGACTTACACAGCAACTTTAAGTCTGTGGCTTTGCTTCCTCTGAGTTACCTTTCGCAGAGACCTTAGGGGTAGAGTCCTGACCCCTGGTCTAAGGCTGTGGTTTGAACTCACAGCTGTTTTACTTTAAAAGGTCCAAATTTTGCTCCTCAGGTCCCAGGGAAAGCGGGGATATGTCCTAGCAGTGCTCCCAGCAGATCTCTCTCAGGGCTGTCCATGGCACCTGTGGGGCTGGACTGAAGTCCCACTGCAGCCAGAGGGATGGAACAGGAAGACAGAACAGGGCTACAGAAACTGTCTGATTTTTGCCATGGACTCCAGCAGGCTGCAAATTCCCCCTCCAGACCTGCAGATACCACTTTTCCCTTCCCAATGGTACCTGGGGCTGTCAGCAGCCAAACTGGGGTGAGGTGTTCCCACGGGGACCCCACACCACACAGGGCTGGTGACCAGCAGAGCTGGGTGGGGAGAGCAGCACGTTTGTCCAGGACAGGTCTGGTTACAGTGATATGTTTGCTTTGAAACTGAGCCTACAAACATCTCGGCTTTTAAGGTTCCCACCTCACGTTTTCTTGTTTCAGCTTTTGAGCTTTTCCCTTAAGATGAGTTAGGCTTTCAGAAAATCACATCTGAACTGGCAGAAAGCTCAGCGTGCAATATAAATGTTTTCTTTAAAAAAAAAAACCCAAACAAACAATTAACATTCCTACTGACATTTTTGGAGTCTTTCTCACCTCATTTTTCGACATAGACAAAAATATTCTGTAGTAACTCCTCATCTTAAATTATTTGCATGAAAAAAAAATCTTAAACAGGATTAAAAGCTCGCTAATTAAAAGCACCTTAAAAAAAAAAAGTTGGTAAAATTAAAAAAAACCAAAACTTCATTACTACCAGAAATATCCTGAAGATTATAAATTTACCATTTTGGCTGGGAAAACCAGCGCTGAGCAGTGAAAGAAGTGGAAGTGAGTAATTATTGATACATGTTTTTGTATAGCTAAAGAAATATTGTTGTAGCTAATTACTTTAAAAAGATACTTTCTAAATAGTTTTTAAACATCATTAAAATAATACTTTTTATAACCCCAAGTTAAATACTTCATGACAGTTCTATAATGCTTTTAATTGCATTGCCTAATGTGAAAGTCATAATTCAAATGTTTATACAGAAAAACTAGAAAGCAATTGCTTTCATTCTAACTCTTTGTGTAAAAATTGTAATCTAACTGTCAAAACAGTTGATAAAATTAAAGATTTGAAGAGAAATTTGCTAAATGTTTGTTATCTTTGGCATAACTTGAGTGATTAGAACCACTGCACTAAACAAATTGAGTTTTCATCAAACAAACTTATTGTTGTTACACGCTCAAGAGAATGAGCTGAGGTTGTTTAGTCTGGATGGGAGAGAAGTGTTGGGGAGAAGACATGATAATAGCCTTTAAATATATGAAACACAGCTGTAAAGAGACAGGGGAAATATGTTTTCAGTGCCCGTGGTGGATAGGTGAAGAAGAAAGCGAGAGATGAGCCAGGGCAGCAAAAGGTGGAGAGAATTGACTCAAGACCACCACAGAGTCTCCATTCAGGTATTTTTAACAACAAACATCTGCTGGGTAAGGCAGAGGAAAGGTCAGTGCAGCCCCGGGACAGCAAGATGCACGTTTTGGAGATTCTGGGTGTGTGGATCCCCACACAGGCTCCAGAGGAGAGAGGGAGGCTCCCAGACCCCTCATGGGTTCAGGCTGCTGAGCAACATTTTTGACCTTGCTCTGCTGCATCATTTATGTTGTCCCATTAGAGACAACCCACATCCCTCGGGGTGTGCTGCTGCCAGCTGAGAACTGGCCAGCTCCTGACACCTCTCCCAGCCTTGTTCCCATGACAGTGGTACTTCCCAAACCATTCCCACTTCTTCCTGCTGCTGTCACAGCCCCATCACCCTCCCCCTGGGCACACACATCTGCACCACCAGCTGCACCACTTTCAGTGCCATCAGCTGTGCAGGTCCTGCCACCCCTGCAAGAGTCTCTGTGGGAAATCTTTGTCTTTTCACAGCAAGACAGAGGGACAGATGGCTGCCAAACCCAAGAGCCAGCACTGCCTGTAATATGTATTTGCAGTAGAGCATTACATGATGTGAAAATCACTTTCCTACCATAAAGTGCCAGTCAGCACCAATGTGACAGCTGAGCCCAGCCAGTTCATGTCTCTCCTTCCAGCTTCACAAGCCACGTGCTGGAAGATGTCGTCCTCTCCTCTTTCCCACCTCTGCACTACTGCAACACAGCACACTGGGCTGAGACAACTCCCTTCTGCAAGTGAAATGCAGGTGATCCTCAGGGAGTGGTGTGGGACACTGTTCCCATCCTGCTGCATCCCCACAGGGCACCCCAGAAGTGCTGTTGTTTGTGTGAAGGCACAGCATGGAATCAGTGCACACTGGTTTGGCTCGTTTTCAGCCCAGGTGGTTGAAGGGACACCAGGTTAGGCCACGTGTTCAGTGCCAAAGAAGGATGTGTGACAGCACCTGCCTATTTGCAAACCAAGCCATCCTCTCACCTTTCCTGTATCCTTGCAGTAAGATATCAGACATTTCTCCGTGGAGCCTTGTCCAGAGCACAGCCATCTCCTCCTCATTCAGGGTCTCTGGAGGTGTCTGTAAGACAAATATAAAGAAGAAATATAAAAAAGAGCACCCAAGGAACCCATTTGGAGACCAGCAAGCTGTAGGACACACATAATCTTAATTCCCCTCCCCATCCTGCAAACACTTAAGCTACAACAGACAGATGTGCAGGGTTAGGACCTCAGCATCCCCTCAGCTGCCTGAGAGGTGAAGGGAGCCCAAGTTCAGCCAGATTATCCTCAGCGCTATAAACAGGAGCTCTGAGACAGCACAGCCAATTTTGGGTGCAGCACTCCAGTGTCACCCTGAACAAGCAGCACCTGTGGTGCCCCATGTCTGGAGAACCTGTGCTTCAGAGAGCACCCAGAGAGCTCTGAGGGATGACCTGCTCCCACCTGCAGCCCTGGCCAGCCCACAGACAATGCCTGCAACGATTTGGAAGTCCTTAAGATGAAACATTGGGTCTTTCCTGCAATAAAGTTCAGGGAATGTGGATGCTTTCTCCCTGTAACAAGCACACACAAAAGAGATATAACCCCCCACCTGTTTATGGATGATGTCAGGGAAGGGTTCCTCGCTGAGGCTGGACTGGGAGGAGGCTTTCAAAGGATCGCTGAGTTAGAGTGCTTGGCTCTTACCGAGGCTTTAGGAGGTAACTTCCTTCCATGGCTTTGGAAAGTCCTCCCCACCAGTCAGTTGCTGCCTTTCACAGTGTTTGTGTAGAAGTTGTTTTTCAGCGGTTTCTGTGGGAGGAGAGTGTTTTCTTTAGTTTTTGAATACTGCCATGACTGCACACGCAGCTGACACCCACAGGCTTACTAGGGCCACACACTAATGATGATTTCCAAGTGTTGGTGTCACTGGCAGGGTTTGAACCATAGCTATAAAGCCTGTAAATAAGCAGGCTGATGGCCAGGGAGGCTTAGCAGCTCCTTGGTGAGGTATCTGAGATAGCTGGAGAGTGATCTGTACCACACCCTGGCTACAAACACTGATATCACAGACCTCAGCCTGCAGTAAATGGAGAGGTTAATAAAGCAAGCTCTGATTAAAACAGGAGCAACCCAAATTAGACCTTTACTGCTGCAGCAGGAAGGTGAAAACAAGGATGACTGGTTTCTTCTGGTGCTGGAAAATTCTGGTTTTGGACCTGAGCTGAATAGGAAAGGCTTAATATAATGAGAACATCTCAATTCATTTTGGGTCAACCAAAAACATTTTGCTTGACCAGTAACAAAATGTTCTGGTTTGCTTGGAGACTATTTAATCTTTTTTAAAAGTCAAGCAAAAACACACAACTCACTTCCTTTTAAATTTAAGTCCGTTGAAAATGAAAACAAAAAAGAAAGCTTCAAACTAAATGATGTTCAATAAAGTAATCTGCTTCAGCCTGAAAATGCCGAAGTGAAACATTTCAATATTTAAGGAAGGAAAGAAAGACTTCTATTGTTTTGTCTTGTCATTGACTGACTTCAGCCTGGATTTGTGAGTTATTTTGGTTGTCTTCATTTTCACAGGGCATTTCATTTTTTATTTTTATATTTTAAATTCTTTTAGTACTCTCTTCTTGTTCAGTTTGAGATACAAATGGTCAGGTTCAGCAAAGGTTCATAAGAACATGACTGAGCTGACAATTTGTACAAATATCAGGCAAATACTTTGGGGTCTTTTTTTCCCCCCTTTGTATTTTAGTTTTCCTTTGAAATTGTACCTGAATTTCATAGAAGCTGTGGGGTCCTCAGGACCCCTGAAACATGCACAGAGCAAAACTGTCAAAGTCTGTGCGCTCTGCTGTGTAACCTGCACACCACAAAAATTCAGATGCCATCTTCAGTCCTGCAAAATATTAAGACAGGCATTTAAGATTTACCCGAGTGATTAAGCATGAACAGCTTGTAATTGTTTCCAGATCCCTCTCCTAGCAGGAGAAAAGGCTCTGCAATCCCTGTCCATGTGCTCAGTGTAGCAATGCGCTCACAAACGGAGAAACTGAAGATGAACTGGGGAGGACAAACAGATATCCTGAGTTTTGAGACTAAGCCAGCATTGCCTTTGAATCCAATATGGACTATCCAGCTCAGAAAAGTAGGATTATTGAGCCAGTGTCTGTCAGGGTACGTCTGCATCCTCCCTGGAGCAACACCTGTGCACCAGCAACTAGAAAACCTTCCGAAGTACACATGGTCAGATTCAGTCTGCAATTTTTCATCTGGCTTGGGAGTGTTAAATGAAGATCAACTGCTGAAATTGGCCTCATTTGGGGAATCTAACTCTGTCTGTGCTTACAGGAAAGACCTTTGTCCTCCAGGTTTTATGTGAAGCCCCAAAGATTGCAGACTTTCTGCATAAGCCACAAAACAATCCAGAGAGCATCTGGAGAGAGACTTGCCTCATATCCCAAACTGTTCCCTCCATGCAAGCCTACCAATATATTTTTCCCACAGACTGCTTGATCGTGAAAAGATCTTCCTCAACTTGCTCAGGGCTTCAAAAAAACCTTAGCAGCCCCAGCCCAAGTTTGAAAGCAAATTCAAGGGTTTGCCATTGCCTTTGAACACAGCGGGAATCTACTCCAACAGGTTAGATCTCAGGGGCCACGTTGCTCCCAGGATTTAAACCAGACCACATGTGAAATGGCAGCTACCTCTTGATTTTATATTTTATTTTATTTTAAAATAGGATAATCTAGGGGCTATGTTTTTTATTACGATTATTACTACTATTTTAATGGCAAATTCAGTGGTGCCACCTTCCCTTCTTAATGAAGGCAACCAGAGACTGAAGCTCAATTTCTCCCACTTTCTAGAAATAGTCTCTGCAAATCCATTGTAAAAAAAACTAACCACAGTCTTTTTCCCCTTTCTCTCTCTCTCTCCCTCCAGAGAGGGGGTTTTCATCAGCTCAGACCATTTTTCTTCCACCACCTCTTTACCTTAACCCTTTCTCAGAGGTTGCATTTATTTTCCGAGGTCCACGGCCAGGACAAGGATACAGAGGGTGCAGCTGACACTGTCTTTTGAGGATCTCTGTCACCAGTGCAAGAGGCACAAGCCTGGGGATGGGGAGGATGTCTCTGGAAATGGCTCCTGCCCTCATCCAGTCCAGTTCACCCAGTCAGGTCCCTCCACAGGAGCTCACTGCTGCCCATCAGAGCATGTCCTTGTAGCCAGAGCTGTCTCCTGTGCTTGGATTGTGCAAACCCCTTTCCTCTCCCTTCCGCACTCCTGGCTATTGAGTGCACATCTAATTGTTCCTCTGAACCTCTCCAAAATCATTGCTTCCTCTCCATTCAACTCCAGGCTCAATTGAGCTGTTCTCCCTCCCCTGGGACCTTGTAGTGAATTTGGCTGAGAGGAGGAGGCAGACAATGTGCCATCCCTTCTTGTGGAAATCTTGGCATACTCCTCAAGGAGATGATCTCAGATAAGCACACTGCCAGGAAGAGAGGTTCACCACTCTTCCTAGAAACTTTGCAAGCCCTGGTCTTCATCCAGATAGGAATTCTTTTTTTTTTTTTTTTTTTTTTTTTTTTTTTTTGAGTAAAAATGCTTCAATCTTTTCAGTGTGAGAGAGGAGTGAAAAAATAAATCGCTGCCATTATAATGGATGGGTAAAAAGGAGTTCAGGCAGTCTTTGAAGAGCCTTGGTGCTGAAACAAATGTTTAAATTAGATGAGAATGGATCTTCTGCCATAAACAGCCTTTGCTTTGTTCAGCTGTCTCCTCTCCAAGGCTGTCTCTCCACAGTTAGGGTGGTAGGCACCAAATCTGGCACTGACCCCTTGGGATTCAGTGATGGAGATGGAGAGGTGGGACATGGCTCTGCTGTTTGAGATGGGAGGAGAAACATCTGCAGCAAAGGGCAGAGCTGAGCCTGCACAGGAGCATAAAGGGGTGGCAGCTCCCACCTGCAGCGGCTTGTAACCACATCTACACATCAGGGTGCAACATAAGGGTGCTTCCATTGAAGCATATCCATGCACAGCCTCAGGACTGTGTTTTACTCAGTAGATTTTCTACTCATGTGGGCAGAGGAAGGTTTTCACTTGTGCACTCACCCATCCGCCCATGGCCAAAGCCAGCTCGATTCTGGTTTGTAGAGCTGAGTCCTGGCCAGGCTGTTCTTCAGCTCCTGCTCCTCCTGGTCATCTCTGTCAGCTTGTGGTGCTCACAGTGCTTCTGGTCAGCACAGTGGCCCCATCTGCACCATGACTCAGGGCTCACAGCTGAATGACAGCGGCAGGAATTGCCTGCAGGGGAGATGATGAGAAAGAGATGAGGAAAAACTACATCCCACACCAGCCAAAAACCCAACTCACTTCCACACCCACCAAGCACTGGGATTGTGGCAAAGCCAAGCCTAAAGGGGCCACTCAGCCCCCGCAGCGTCTTGAACTGTGCTTTTCTAGGTCGTCACAAACCAGCCCTGACAGTGCGAGGAGAAAACAGACTCAGAGCAAATCGCCCACAAGGCATTGCCTGCATTCCCCACCGCGGGCTGGGCTGCGGGTCACTGCCTCCAAACAGCACTGCCCACGGGAACACAGCACCAGCTCAGCCCCGGCCTTGGAAAGCCACCGGGGAAAACAGAGCAGGGGCTCAAGGTCAGCACAGCCCCGCCGAGGCGCCGGGGATACCTGAACCACTAATTTGCCAGACGCCCCCGAGCCCGGCTTGGCAGCCCCCCCCCGGCTGTCCCGGCGTGGAAGCCATTAACATTTAAAAATACTTACAGGAACGGAGGGGTGGGGGGAAAAAAAAGAAATGGTATTTGCGGAGGCCCATTCCTCAGCGCACTTTCATGTGTGCCAAAGTTTGTTGGCATGGCTCGGAGTTTGATAGGGAACATCTGGGCTGCTGTTGCTGCCTGGATATTGGCTGAGGGCAGCGAACAAAAGGGGTTTGTGCAGGAATGCGCGGGGAGGGGCGCGGGGTGCGCGCGTCCAGGGACAGCTGCGAGAGGAGAAAGGCAGGAATACGCTCTGAAGAAGAAAGCCTAATGCACATCCCATGTTCCTGCTTTTAAAAAGGGGATAAAAGCCTTCCCCCCCCACTTCTTCTCTTCCCTCTCGGGGTACTGAATGTGAGCAGGGCTCAGACATAGATCCGTGCCCTGCTACCTCTGCACATTCGATTATTGACGCAGTCTGCAAAAACAATTGGGGTGGAAGGAGCAGGTTAGTGGGAGAGCAGGGAAGTCTGAGCCCAACCACGAGGTGCAGCACCAGTACATACTCAAGACTCAACCAGCAAGTTCCTTGCAAGCAGCCTGACACCATGAGAGGAAACACCCAGTGACAAACCCCCCAGGAGAGCAGAGACTGCTGACATGGACCCACTGAGAACAGCACTGGTTGAAGTTTCTTCCACTTCTGCTGGAAATTTGGGGTAAGGAGCTGAAAATCAGCACCATGCCACTGCCAGTGTCACAAATCCAGAGACTGCCTCCTACAGGGTCCTGCTGGATCTGACACCAGAGGATGGCATGGAGGGATGAAGGAGGAACAGATTCACGCTTAAAGAAGGCTGGTCTGTTGGGAACTATCTGGAAACTACAGGCCAGGTGCAACCCTTGGCTCTAAAGATCACAGCATACATGCTCCATCCCACATGCTCCACCCCCAGGGAGTCATTGCTGCCTGTGGATGGACACCAGAGATTGAACCTTTTGATTGAACCTAATGTAACCTCTCTGACATTCTTCCTTTTGCAGCTCCTTTCCACCACACCATGACTACAGTATTTTTTACCAAAGGTGTTCATAGTGTTCACAAAACTTTTGAACATCTCACTCTATGGACTAAACCTGTTTCTCAACATGTGCAGTACTGGTGTAATTTCCTACCTTCTGATCCCTCTTTGCTCATCCCATTTTTGTCCAACTCAATATGAGCAAGTTTTGAGCATTTAAGGGGTTTTTTGTTTTTTGGTTTTTTTTTTAAATCAATGGAGAATTTTTCTCTTTTGTTTCTGGTATGTACATTTGGCCTCAATCCTACTCGAAAGCCTACATTCCCCCTTGGCTCCAATTAAGGATACAAATTGGGTCTGCTTCCTAGAACAAGCTTTCCATTGCCTCTGTCTTTGGGGTTCCTTGGAGTCACTGGAGCCAAGCCAGAGAGGGTATTTGGGCAGGACTTGGGTCGCACATCCCTCTTGCTACCCCTGCCTTGACAGGGAAGCCCTCTGGGAACGCTCCAGGGAGCAAAGTCTAAAGACAAATGCTCCAGGTCAGCAAAGACCCTTGGGTCTGACAGTCAAGGCAAATTTTTCCAACCCTAATCTCCTTTCCAAGTTTTGGCAGCATGCCTACACACCATCATTTTGAGCTGACTTACTCAACACCAGCCACACAACCCTCCTGGCGCTGCCTCAGGCAGTGGGCTCGTGCTGGGGGTGCTGGCTCCAGGGCTGGGCATGTTTGGAGATAAGCCTCCCCCAGTGATATCTGGATTTCGATTACATCAGTGTCAAGACAGCTTTTGCCAGAGCCAAGCAGAGCTCCTGCCACGCCAAAGAAAGCAGCCAGGCCGGCCAGGGGCTGTGCACAGCACTGTGGGGAGGACATTGGCCCCTCTCACGTGGGGCAGCACAGCCTGCAGACCCACCCCTGTGCCACGCAGACAGTCCTACCCGGTTGTTTCTTCTGCGGCGGGTTGGGAAAGGAGCTGCAGAAAACTCTGCAGCCCTGGGTGGGGAATGTGCAGCCACACATAAACACGTGACCAAGTTGAGCAGCCAGTGCCCTGCTTTGGAGAGGAGGAAAAAAGCGTAACTACTGTGCTTAGTGCTAGACATCCCTTGATCCACTGCTGAAGACAAGGGGGTTGAGAGTAGCCAGTCTATTTCTGATTTATCAGTCATTCGTGTTGCCAAAGTGCATTTGCCACCTCTCAGAAGCAGGTCTGTGCCTCCATTCATCCTCTACATCCTTCTCCAGGACACCTTTTCTCTTAGCTCTGCCTGAAAACAGCCCAGTGTCACCAAGGGACATGATGCTGCAAAGGCATCGCTCTCCAGCCGTGCTCCTGCCTGACCCCACTCCCATGTCCTTCCCTGACCACTGCCAGCAACTAAGAAGAACCAGCCCCAACAAAGACAACAGGCCTATTTCAAAAGCACAGAAACAATTTAAGAGCTGAAATCCCACCTTCCATGTGGTTAAAGGTCCCATCAGGAGGTAGACTCCTAATCATCCTAGATGCTTTTGAAGGCTGTAATAGAAGGTCAGCTGTATCTTCAATGCCCCATGGGACCCACATGCCTTTGAAGCGACTCCTGAGGGACCATGGTGGTGGTGGCTGAGGAGGAGGATGAAATCCTGGAGCCAAACAGCGCTCGTGCCCTGGGAGAATTAAAATCACGAGTCCAGTGAAGTCTCACAGTGGTTCAGGCTGCTCCTGCCAATGAGGCTCCACCTCATTTGCCCCATCTCTGCATCCATCCACTGTCTAACACAGGCCAGCTGGGAAACTCCCTGTGCAATGGGCTTGGGAAGGGGCTGGTGGGAAAATGCCCATTTAATGTTTTGCAGGCAAGGGTAGTTCAGACAGTTATTTCAACTTGGAAAAAACCCTTCAAATCTGTTTCCAAATTGTCCAAATGTTTGGCTTTTACATTTCCTTCAGTGACATCCCAGGGTTTTAGTTGAAAAGGTCTTCTCTCTTCAGAATTAAGCTGCTTCTAGGGAAAAAAACCCTATCAAAACAGGAAGCTTGAAATTATCAAAGAAAAATATTTTCATTGACCTTAAAGATCTTACCCTTTGGTTTTCTAGTTCACAAAATTTTTCAGAACTGACTCCTCATCCCCAGGAGAGATGAGAAATACTGTCAGTGCCTCAAAAATGCTGCCAGGAGGAAAGAGTTATTAATTATCAACCTCTATTTTTAACCTGCAACCAAGAGTCACTTCTCATGGGTGACAACTGGATTCTCTTGAGGCTCTGTCATTGGCTTCATCAAGGCTTTTAAGTCAGAGATAGGATTTTTTTTTTTGGATGGGACATGCCCCAGGCACTCTGCAAAGCCTAGCCTATCCATTTCCAAAGCAAGCATCAGGTATCACATGCTTCTACTATCCATCTATTTAGAAAAAATATGTCATTACCTTTTTCCCCTTCCCCTATATTCCAGCTGAAAAAAGTTCGTATTTTCTCCCCCATAATTCAAAAAAGACTACATGGCTTTTTTTTTTTTTTTCCTCAGAGTTTCCAAAAAAAATTCCCCACTGGGTAAGGGCCAGGCATGCAAAAATTTCAACCTGAAAAGTGAATGTTTTCAAAAGTTATGAGCTTATGAAAAGAAGGGCTATAATGGAAACTGTTTTACTGCCATAATTATAACACCACGAACAGAGCCTGCTGCAACATATTACATTATCAAGCTCCTGTCAACATTTAATAGAAGTCTTAATTAACTGCAGGGCAGAACATGGCAAAAATTTATTTTCAGGAAAACTTTTGGGAGCTGTGTAATTCTGGGCTTTTTTGATTTTTCAAGTCAATTGGAGCCTTAGTAGAGTATGTAGGACAGACTAAATACAAGACACAAGTGTGTATCTTGTTGGTGTTACTTAATGATAGGACTTTCTTTTCTGTTAAACTACATAATCCAGAAACAACAATAATGTTTGTGTTGGGTTGGAGCCAGACACTTCAGAGGTGGATTTTAACCTTCCCCAAATTTGGGGTTATTCAATGCCAGGGGCTTGATTCAGCTTTTTGGGGAGGGGGGGGGGGTCATGTGTAACCTGTGGGGCTGATCTGCCTTTGCCACTTGCTTTTTTCCCTGTCTTCCACCACCCCAAAGATACTCACACTCCAGATTTAGAGGGGAGATTGTGTTTTCCTGCCTGAGCTCCTGGGCTGGAGACACAGTCACAGAGGAGAGTTGTGGGGAGGGCCAAGCACAGCAGTTGTAGGATCATTGTAATTAATTTCTTGCCTATGGCTTTGCAGGAGATAACCAGCTCCAAACCAGACTGACCACACTGCATGTTTCCTCTCCCCTGCAAATTTGGGCAAAGGCTGCAGAGGAGGGCTCCTCCTGCTGCAGCCCAATCTCCAGAGGCATCTCCAAGAGTTTTTTTCCATCTCTCCAGGTCCTCAAGCCTGCAGTGATGCCCTGCCAGCTAGACCTTGTGCACTCCCAGACCAGACTGAAGAAGTGGGAGTGGGGTAGGGAGGGAGGACAAGCAGCTCAGCCACAGTCAGCAGCAGGGTTTGGGGTGCCTGGGGCACAGGGCAAGTCTCGTATGGAGAACACTAAGAGAAAGCTCTGCAAACCTGCTGCCCAACTAGACACGGAGCACAAAGGAGACATCAGGTGATAAGGGATCTGCCAAGGTTAAACCTGGCTCTCCCTACTCCCATACCTGATCCACCAGACCATGCCTCTCAAACATTCTGGCAAGCAAAGGGCTTCTTGACAAAGCAGGGCAGGTAACACCGGGCAGCTTACGCCACAACAAACACTCCTTCAGTCTCGCCTGGCAGTCCAAAGTTCCTTCTAATCCCTTTTTTTGCCCCCTCCATCCCCTGCCTGGCCCCTGCTCCAGCAGAACAGCGCTGCAAGCTGGCAGGCCACATCCATTTCCCTGATAGCACCAAGAGCCCAACAGCTGCTCTCTGTCCCTTTGGAGATTAGTTTGTTTTCCTAACACAATTACTGCCACGTGGCCCCGCTTTCTGCCGAGATCAAGGCTGGATAGAGATAAAGCAGCGATAAGATCACAGCCATTCCAGACCCCTTCGCAGCCCCGCTGGCCGCGGTTCGCTCTCGTCAGCACGCGAACACCCTGGCTGCAAGTTACCTGCTCCCATCGGTGCCAGCCCAGGGAGCCTGGGATGCTTTCTGGCCCTAAACCCCAAGGATTTGGCTCCCAGCTTTCTGTGCAGCACCAAGGAGTTGGTTTATGATGTAACTACACAGCGCTGCATGGGAGCTCACCGGAGGCGATACGAAGTCCCTTATCAGCTGCAGCACCCTGCTGGCTCAGTGCTTTCACCAGCACAGCTGGCCAGCAGCTGGCTCCAAGCTGACCCTGCCTGTGCCAGGTCAGCTGGTTCTGCCCAGTCTCTTTGTCCTCTGCCTGGGATTAGCCCAGACTCGGCTCAGCCTGCACATCACCCTGGTGAATGAAGCAGCTTTACCCCGGTGCATCTGCTCTGCTGAGCTGGAGCATCCCAGCGGGGCTCACACCGCTACCTGCAGCACCAGCAAGGGGCTGGTCGGCTCCAGAAACATCAGTGGAGCGATCACAGGGGCAGGTCTGGCCCAACCACCCTCCATCACATACAGCAGAGGCCCTCTCTGTCTCCCAGAGCCTCCTGTGGGAATCCTTGTGTGGGGAACAGCTCCTGAAAGCCTCTGCCGGGACAAACGTGGTGCACGCTGGGAGAGGACACTCAGGGAGCCTTCAAGAGAGACAAGCATCCTTGCCAGATGTCTCCCATAAAGCTGCAAGTACTTTATTTTAATAATAAGCCTTAATGTATTCATTAAAGGCTCCCAGTGACCTGGGATGAATTTCCCTGCTATTGTAAAGGGCTGTGGGAATCTGGAAACCGCTGCATTACAGTTAATAACTTTAATTTTACAAGGCCCAAAATAGACAACTGAAAAAATACACAGACTCACTGTTTCCAATTAAGAAGGGATTTCTTCTAATTCCTCTGCCACCGGCGCTCTTGTTTAGCAAACAACATCAACAGTTATTCAACCATAGACAAGGGGAGAAGCAAACCAAGGGAGTTGCCTTTTATATCTCCACTAGAAGAGCTGAGGAAGAAACCAGGACCCTTCCTCCTCACTGGGTTATCAGAGCATGAAAGAGCCACAGCCTGGCCAGCAACAAACCCACACCAGGACAGCCATGGGTAAAACTTTAATCCCTGCTTCTTAAGCCTGAAGTGACTTTGATCCTGAGGAGATGACTTCCAATCCATCTTCTCCCTTCTCCCTCACAGCTAAGGTGGTTAAAGGACTTTGGTGGACTCCTGGGGTGCTGCAAAACCACCCCAGTAGCTGGGTGAGCATCCTGTAAGTACTTGGGGCTACCAGATGTCTGATTTTAAGGTCGGGAAGGAATATCCCCCCCAGATCAGCTTGGCTAAGATCGCCATGGATTTATTTTGCCTGTCTCTTTCTTCCTCTGTCAAATGAAGGGTAGATGGTTTCCCAGGGGAAAAAAAAACAAACCTGGGAAGCAAAACAATTCAGCCTGATTTTTTTTTTTTTTTAATTTCTGGGAAACTAATGTTTTCCAGCCCAAATATTTTCATTTCCGGTTTGGTTCTTTTGGGTTTTTCAGTTAAAACTGGAGCTTTTTTCAAAAAGAGGCCTGACATTTTATGTGGAAGCATTCATTTTGCCACAAGTCAAGCCTTCTGGGGTGGAAAAAGGAGTTTTGAAGGGTGAGGTTTGACCAGTGTACCAGTCTGGTTGTGTTGGCAACCAACATCTGCCTCCTCATGCATCTCCAGAGTCACCTCTGCCAGGCCCACACCAAGGTGCTGGCACCCTCCCTCCACGTGGCAGGGACACACATACCCTCCTTACCATCACCCTGGCATTAATCAACACTAGTTAAAGCAGATCTCCAAAACTTCCTCTGCAGACTTAGCCTGACACAGGGAAACACATTGCTTAAAAACCCATGGGTGATCTCAGCCCACATAACATAGATCCCAAAACACTCTCTAGACCACCTGAAAAACACAGCAGGTCCTATCCAGCAGGATGGAGCACACCAGTTTTAGCTAGTCCTGAGAGGAGCAGGGAGTGGGGCTCGTTGATCCTTGTGGGTCCCTTCCAACATGAGATATTCTAAGATTCTATGCAGTAATCCAGCCTCAAGGCCCTCATTTCACCTCTTGACCAAGAGCTGCCTACGAGCAGCACTGAATTTGCACCAGCCCTCGCTTAGGAGCAGATTGAGTTTTCCAGCCAAACTGATAAAAATGAAAAATGATTTTCATATGCCTGGACTCAATTTCCCCATAAATAAGACAGTGATGGAAATTGGGGGAAGGGGGTTGTCAGAGCTGTAGGTAATCCGTCAAAGCCACACCAAGAACACTGATCTAGCCCTCGTCCAGGAAAGCATCTCTATTTAGGAAAGCCAGCAGGCACATCCCTACTCTCCTCTGAAGCCACTGGGAACTGAGAGCCAGGCAGCTTAAAGATATCTAAATGCCTGAAGGAACAGATAAGACCTAGATACCAGCTGGCAAAACCCAGACCCTCAGAAGGCATTCAGGCAAACATTTTTTAATGGAAATGAAGAGCTCATGTACTTTTGTGGGCAGGGTCTCGAAGTACACGCGTGCCTTAAAAAAAACATTGCCAGTGGCTTTCCTGAAGAGACTCGGACACACAGGTTACATATCAGGGTTTGTAAACCCTCATGTTATCACAGAAAACCAACCTCTGCGATACAACAGGATGTCTCCACTCTAGACATCCCCAAAACCCCTAAAAACATGGAGAGGCCAAACCGCTGCGCTTCACCTATAACACCAACAAAACCACAAGCAGAGCAGAACCTCCCCAACTCTCCAAGCACACATTTCCTATTCCTGCCTGCAGCTCTGCCACTGCCTTTCTCACATCAATACCCTGACTGTGGCTGCTTGAAAAATTTCCATCTATACAGTTTGTAGCAGGTCATTTTTCAAAGGC